GAAGGGAGATGAGGTGGGAGAGAAGGAGCTACAGAGAACTGGGGAGATAAAGAGAAAGGGACACAGAGAAAGACGGGTGGGGAGAGAGACAGAAACAGGGAGAAAGAGAAGGAGAGAGGGATGGAGAGAGAGAGGAGAGAGGAAGACAGAGGGAGAAGACGCGCGGAGCCTTGCGGCAGGAGGTGGAGGAAGGAGCAGACCCTCTCACCTGGCATCGGTGGCGGCTAAACCCTGGGCCTGACCGTGTGATTTAAGGGGTACCCTGGGGGTGAGACCGCCCCACCCGTCACTGCCTTATCTGGCCAGACCCGGCACTGTGAGCTAAATCGGGCAGCAGCTGTCACCACCAGGGGGTGCGGGACAGCTGTCCCCCTCCCCCTGCACCTGCCCTGCACCTGCCTCGTGACCTTAGCCCCTCCCTCTCCCCTTCTGCAGCCTGGGGGTGCTGAGAGGCCGCTGGCATCTGTGGGGGGCGCCCCCGCCCCCTCAGCTCTGGGATGGGCCTGGCTGGGTGTCTGGGGCAAGCGGCAGCCCTCTGAGTCCCGAGGCGCTCTCCTGGGAAGAGAGGTCCCAGTGGGTGGAGGCACAGGCGCTCTGCACTGTGAGGGGCCCGCAGTAAGTGCTTGATGCGATGACCTGGTCTGCCCTGCCCGCTCTCACCTGCCAGAATGTGGGGGTTAGGGCAGGAGGGAGTGGGAGCAGGAGGTCAGCTGGCCCCTCTCCCCCTGCACCCCACCCCAGCTCCTCCTCCCTGGGCTCCTCACTCCGGACCTTATTTGGCCATAGCCCAGGACGCACCTAGGGGCCACAGCCCCTCCTGCCACTCAGGCCCAAGAATAGCAACACTCAGGCCCCCGCCAGTCTGTCTGGGACCTGTGATGGGACAGGCAACAGGCACAGGGTGGCAGGGAGGGGCCCAGGGGCACAGAGAGAAGGGGAGGGGCACAGAGAGAAGGGGAGAGAGACAGAGGGGAGAGACAGCGAGTTGAGGAGAGACTGAGAGCGACTGTGGGAGAGACAGAGAGACAGGATCAAAGAGACAGAGAGGGGTGGAGAGAAACGCCCAGCAAGAGAGAGAGAGAAGGGAGACTCAGGCGAAGCGAGAGACAGAGGTAGACACAGAGACAGAGGGGGCTGAGCCAGGGGCCTGGGGCCAGACACCCAGACGGGGCAGAGAGCAAGACCCACACCAGCAGAGGCCCGGGGAGCCCGGCGGGTGGGCAGGAGGTGAGGGGTCCGAGTTGTCCTGGAGTTGGGGTGTCCGCAACCCCCAACAGCTTCCCCTTCGGTGCTGTCTGGCTTTTCACTTTAAGACCCGCCCTTTGACCTTGGGAAAACTTACAAACAGGAACCTGTCACACCCTGGTCCCTGCGTGGGGAGGGCTTTTGTGAGCGTGTCCTGCAGGCATCAGTTCCACCTTGCCGGGGCAGTCATGGGCAGCTCGGGGGCTGCCCGGATGAACTGCCTGCCTGGGCGCAAGGGTCTGTGGCTCCTGGAGGGGACGCGCCCCAAGCCGGGGACCCCTTGCCTCCTTGTGCCCGAGTCCCCCGCTTCTGCAGGTGCCTAACGGGGGTCCCAGGGTTCAGCCAGGCCCCTGGGCGCTGTCCACTCATTCCTGCCTCCTCACCTGCCAGGGCCCACCAGGCTCAGACCCACCTCTCTGTCCCCCTCAGGGGCCTGGCGCGAGCCCTGCCCTCCCAGCCTCCTTCCTGACCTCCCGGCCTCTGGTCCCCCCTCCATTCTGAGCCTGCAGCTCCAGAGGGGTCTCTGCATCCAGAGCTGACCTGCCCTTCCCTTCTCGCAGCTCCCAGGTTGCCCTCGGAGGTCCCGCCTGGTTGGGTTCCTGGCCAGGACCCACCCTCTTCTTTCATCACCTCCTCAAATAACTCTGGCGATAAACAGCTGTAACGTTCTAGGTCTCATCCAGGATGACTTCCAATTCTGGAGTGCCCTTCCCCGTCCTGCCGGCCTCTGCAGAGCCCTCCTCAGCCTTCCGTGGCCAGCCTCGTCTCTGGGCCATTTTATGCGACTCGCTTGTCCCGGGGTCCCTTCTCTGTCCTCTGGTCCCTGCAGTGCCCCATGGGAACCTGTAAAAGCCCCCACTGCTGGGACAGGTTCTTTTGGTGTTCCCTTGGGCCTCCTCACAGGGTGGGAGCTGGGAGGGTGTCCCTCCTCCGCTGTGGGGACCCTCGTGATGACACGGGGCCCATCGGGGGATCCAGGACACTCTCCCTGTCTCAAGGTCATGGCAGCCTTGATCCCACTCACAACCTCATTCCCTGTTGGCCAAGTAACACAACATATTCACAGGCCCCAGGGATTAGGACATGGCATCTTTTAACTTAATTTAATTGTTTGTTGTTTGAGATGGAGTTTCACTCTTGTTGCTGAGGCTGGAGTGCAGTGGCGCGATCTCAGTTCACTGCAACCTCTGCCTCCCGGGTTCAAGCGATTCTCCTGTCTCAGCCTCCCAAGTAGCTGAGAGTACAGGTACCTGCCACCACACCCGGCTAATTTTTGTTGTCTGTTTGTTTGTTTGTTTTTTGAGACGGAGTCTCACTCTGTCGCCAGGCTGGAGTGCAAGGGCATGGCTGGAGTGCAGTGGCGAGATCTCAGTTCGCTGCAACCCCTGCCTCCCGGGTTCAAGCAGTTCTCCTGCCTCAGCCTCCTGAGTAGCTGGGATGACAGGCGTGTGCCACCACGGCCAGCTAATCTTTGTAATTTTAGTAGAGACACGGTTTTCACCATGTTGGCCAGGATGGTCTCAATTTATTTACCTCGTGATCCAACCACCTTGGCCTCCCAAAGTGCTGGGATTATAGGCATGAGCCACTGCACCCAGCCTAACTTTTTTTTTTTTTTTTTTAAGACAGAGCCTTACTGTGTGGCCCAGGCTGGAGTGCAGTGGCATGATCTCGGCTCACTGCAACCTCCGCCTTCCGATTCACGCCATTCTGCTTCAGCCAGTAGCTGGGACTACAGGCGCCTGCCACCATGCTTGGCTAATTTTTTTGTATTTTTAGTAGAGACAGGGTTTCACCGTGTTAGCCAGGATGGTCTCAATCTTCTGACCTTGCGCTCTGACTGCCTTGGCCTCCCAAAGTGCTGAGATTACAGGTGTGAGCCACCATGCCTGGTCTATTATATTTATTTTTATTTATTTTTTTGAGACAGGGTCTCACTCTATCACCCAGAGTGGAGTGCAGTGATTCTGTCATGGCTCACTACAGCCTCGACCTCCTGGGCTCAAGGGATCTACCTGCCTCAGCCCCCAAGTAGCTGGGATCACAGGTGTGCACCACCAAGCTTAGCTTATTTTAATTTTTTTGTAGAGACAGGGTCTCGCTATGTTGCCCAGGCTGGTTTCAAACTCCAGAACTCAAGTGATCCTCCTGCTTTTACCTCTCAAAGTGCTACGGTTACAGATGTGAGCCACCATGCCTGGACTATTATATTTTTGAGACAAGGTCTCTCTCTCTCACGATCATGGTTAACTGCAGCCTTAACTTCCTGGGCTCAAGCAATCCTCCTGCCTCAGCTTCCCAAGTAGCTGCGATTACAGGCGCAGGCCACCACGTCCCGCTTATTTATTTATTTATGAGACAGAGTCTTCCTCTGTTGCTGAGGTCGGAGTGCAGTGGTGTGATCTCGGCTCACCAAAACCTCCACCTCCTGGGTTCAAGCGATTCTCCTGCCTCAGCCTCCCGAGTAGCTGGGATTATAGGCACCCGCCACCACACCCAGCTAATTTTTTGTATTTTTAGTAGAGATGGGGTTTCACCATGTTGGCAAGGCTGGCCTTGAACTTTCTTTTTTTTTTTTTTTGAGACGGAGTCTTGCTCTGTCACCCAGGCTGGAGTGCAGTGGTGCAATCTTGGCTCACTGCAAGCTCCACTTCCCAGGTTCACACCATTCTCCTGCCTCTGCCTCCCAAGTAGCTGGGACTACAGGTGCCCGCCACCATGCCCGGCTAATTTTTTGTATTTTTAGTAGATATGGGGTTTCACCATGTTAGCCAGATGGTCTCAATGTCCTGACCTCGTGATCTGCCTGCCTCAGCCTCCCAAAGTGTTGGGATTACAGGCATGAGCCACTGCGCCCAGCCAGTCTTGAACTCTTGACCTCAGGTGATCCATCCACCTCGGCCTTCCGGAGTGTTGAGATTACAGACGTGAGCCACCGGCCTCACATCCCACTTATTTTTAATTTTTTTTTTTTTGGTAGAGACAGGGTCTTGCTATGTTGCCCAGGCTGGTCTCATACTGTGGACCTCAGCCTCCCAAAGCACTGTGGTTACAGGCATGAGGCACCACATCTGGCCAGGGTGTGGACATCTTTAGGGCCGCTGTTCTGCCCACCTACCAATCAACGGAATAGCATGGAGAGTCAAGAAGTAAACTCAGGCACGGTGGCTCACACCTATAATCCTAGCACTTTGGGAAGCCGAGGCAGGCAGATTGCTTGAGGTCAGGGGTTCAAGACCAGCCTGGGTAACAGAGCAAGATCCCATCTCTACAAAACAATTTAAAGAAAGTAGTCAGGTATGGCACCTGTGGTCCCAGCTACTTGGGAGACTGAGGTGGGAGGATCACCTGAGCCCAGGAGTTCAAGGCTACCGTGAGCTGTGATTGACCCACTGCAATCCAGCCTGGGTGACAGAGTGAGACACTGTCTCAATCAATCGAATAAAGAAGTAAACACCTGCTTTCTCCTTAGCAAGTACCCCCGTGGAACCCAGATCAAACGCATTCGTTCGCCACTGGTCTCTCTCCAGCACCGGAGGAGCGTGAGCCCCAGGGGCACGGACTTGTACTGTTTTCTGCTGTGTCACTGATGAGGAAGCTGAGGCCCAGGGGTAAGCAACTGGTATGAGGCGGCAGAGAACCAGGAGGGCTCCTGGGCTCTCAGCCCCACCCACCAGGGTGTCTGGCCGGTCAGAGAAGTGGGAGTGACTGAGTGGAAGGGGCCCCAGAAGGGCGGGGCAGTCAGACACAGGCCAGGCGGCAGAAAATCAGGTTTATTGAGGCAGCAGCGGCAGTGGGGAGCAGGGGTGTGGGGAGGGGGCCGGGCCTCCCCAGGCCTTTCCCAGGCACGCAGTGTGCGCAGTCAGAGGGGGACGCGCAGGGACTGTGCTGTGGGCGCCGACGGTCAGCTGAGATCAGTCTGTCCGAAGCCAGCAGCCCTTCTCCTCCACCTCCTTGGTCACCACCAGCAGCACCTCACACAGGCCCTGGGCCAGCGCAGTCGCCAGGAAGGCCCTGGGTGGGAGAAATGGGGAGACTGAGGCTCAGCCAGCCTGGGCATTCCCTCTGGGGAGTGGGGTTTCAGGCCCCTGGTCTTGGAATCACCTCTGCGGGGCTCACCTGACTCCGTCCTCGTCCCCCAGGGCCTCGGGCGCCCGCAGCTTGGAGTCCAGGTTGTAGTAGATGCCGTCCACCTGGCGCAGGGCCACCCAGTGCCGCCGGCGCAGCGGCAGCGACAGCAGCCCCAGAGACACGGGCGAGGGCAGGTTCAGGATTAGTCCCAGCACCTGGGGCAGGGCCAGCTGGGACAGGGGCCTGTGTGGGCAGGGAGGGGACACCGCCATCAGGGCCTGCTCTGCCCGCCAGTGAAATGTGGCTGACCATGTGGGGCCCAGGCTGGCGGGGGTGGGGGCCTCCTGAGCCCACCCAGAGGTGTTCCTTAATCAGCCACCCTGGTTCCCGACACTCTCCGTTCACTCGCCCACTCAAACCTCCCACCCATGCAGCCGCCCAACCAGACCTCCCACCTATCCACCCCCCAGTCACCCAACTCACATCGGCCCTTCACCAACCACCATCACCCTGTCTGTCCAGCCGCCCACCCACCAACTTACTCCTCACACAGCCACCCAGGATCCAGGCATGATCCGCCCACCCCACCGGGCCTCCCAGCCACCAGCCAACTTCCCAGCGACGATTCACACACTCACCTCCATCTATGCATTCACCTCCCCGCCACCATCACCATCCAACTAGCCATCTACTGTCCACCAGCCACCACCCAGCCACCACCCAGCCAGCCATTCACCCAACAGTGGACTCGCCATGCCCTCAGTCCTCACCCACTCTTGACCCACCTGCCATTGATCTGCCCCTCATCCACCAGCCACACACCTGGCCACTGGCCAGCCAGCCATCAAAACCTCCCATTCATCCACCCAACTCCCCAGCCTCCTGTCTGTTGTCCACTGCCCATGAACACCCGATCCCTCACTCCCCCTCACCCAACACATCCAGCCACCTACTCAGCATTCACCCGGTAACCATCATCCACCCAGCGTCTCAGCCTGCCGACCGCCTGACCTCCTCCACTAACCATCAGCGCCAGCCTTCCCGCATTCATGCCAACACCCCGGCCACATTCCCCTCCCTGACCCCCCAACAGGCTCACATGACAGGGTGCCCTCTGTGCCTGGCCCAGGATGTGCCGTGCGGCTCTGGGGCCTACCTCCTCCTGTCCCACCACACGGCGGCCAGGCCCAGTCCCTGCAGAGCGGCCATGATCACGTTGACGTCATAGTTGCCGGTGCCCAGGAGGCTGCGATGAGGGTTCAGCCGGGAGTCTGGGGCCAACCTGGTAGTGGGGTGGCCAGAGTTGAGCTGGGGACCCTTGGAAAGGCCACCCCACAAAATGGGGGTCCCAGGGGCCACAAGTTGCCTCAGCCTTTGACTCTCCCCGCTTCAGACCCCACAACTCATCCACCCTCAAGTCCTGTCTCTCCTGCCCCAACTCTGCCCTGTCCCCAAGGCCCCAGTTGGGCTCTGTCTTCTCCCCCAGCCTCCAGCCTCCCTCTAGTCCATTCCCACGTGGCCCTGGCCCTCCCCTGCTCACAGCTCTCCCATAGCTCCCCAGCGCCCTGGACAAAGTCCCTGTCCCTCCGCCAGCCCCTTCCTCTGTCCTTCAAGACCCGCCTCAGATGTCAGATCCTCTGAGAGGAGGCTCCTGACCTTCAGGCTGGGTCGGGGCCCTGTCTGGGCTCCCCCAGTGAACTGAGCTACCTCAACGATGACAGCTGCCCGCATCACCCTCATTTTACACTGCTTGCTTCTCCCATGGGGTTGCCTTTACCTCTCCCCTGGTCACAGCCCACTCTGCTCCCTCATTTCCCCCAGGACAGAGTCCCACAAGGCCCTGCGTGGTCTGGCCCTGGTGGCTTCACCTCAGAGCCTCAGCACCCTCCTTCCTGGCCCCAGCCACATCCCCGGTGCCCACCACCCCCTGCCCCACCCCCACCAACCTTTCCTCCAGCTCTTCCCCTGCCCAGGAAGGCTCTTCTGCCTGCCACCACTTGTCTCTGGGCCCTGCCTCTGAACAAGCTGCACCTCTGTTCCCTATCTGGGGCCTGGGCAGGCAGGGCATGGGAGGAAAAGGCTTGTGTGTGTGTGTTTCCCTTGCCACCCTCAGGCTGGCACTTGAGTCTGAGTCATCTCAGGGTCTCCAACATGGCTTTGGTATGAAAGAGCTGGTGGGTCCTTGTTCTGAATGATAGAGGGAGATGAATAAATACCATAATGATCAGTCTGAGGGGCTGGGCCTCTCAGGATGTCCGGGAGCCAGAGGTGGCTTTGAGCAAGAGACAGGACAGGCAGGCCCATCTCCAGGTGTAGAAAGACTCTCCAGGATCAGTGGCGACTGAAGGCAGGGACAGACTGGAGGCCACGGGCAGGTTGGGCAGGAGAGGGTCAGGCCTGAGCTGGGGCCAGGGACGTGGGGACAGAGAGGAGGGAGTAAGAGATGATAAAGGATGGATTTTGTTTGTTTGTTTGTTTGTTTGAGACAGAGTCTTGCTCTGTTGCCTGGCTCACTGAAACCTCCGTCTCCCAGGTTCAAGCAATTCTCCCACCTCAGCCTCCAGAGTAGCTGGGACTACAGACGTGTGCCACCATGCCCAGCTAATTTTTTTTATTTTTTAGTAGAGATGGGGTTTTGCCCTGTTGGCCAGGCTGGTCTGGAACTCCTGACTTCAAGTGATCCACCTGCCTCGGCCTCCCAAAGTGTTGGGATTACAGACGTGAGCCACTGCGCCTGGCCAAGGAGCAAGGTTGGACATCGTGAATAGTGAAGAGGAATATTCCATGCTGGCAGAGAAGGAAGCCACACCAGGCAGAAAGAAGTACCTGGAAGCCCAGAGGCTGCACAGGAGGGCTCACGGGAGTGGAGAGTCTGGTTTGAGGGGGGCTGTGAGGGCTGGAGCTGCAGAGGCAGGCTCAGCCTCTGCTATCAGGAGGGCCCTGAGTAGGGCGGGGGCGTGTTTAGGATGGACTGGAGAGCTGTGACAGGGCCCAGATAAGAGATGCCTGAAACTGGGTGAGCCTGTAATCCCAGCTACTGGGGAGGCTGAGGTGTGAGGATCACAAGCTCAGGAGTTCAAGACCAGCCTGAGCAGCACAGCCAGACGTTGTCTCTAAAGAAAGAAAGGACCACCGGATTGGGGCCTGGCTGGGGCTGAGGCCACAGGGACAGACAGGCACAGGAGGCAACATCTCCCCAGAGTCCCAGCCTCTGGCTTAGGCAAGTGAGCTGGGGACAGAAGCAAGCCCCCAGGCTCGGCGCCTGCTTGGTGGCGAGACCCAGGTGGGTCGCTCTGCCGGAGCCCTGCTGCTCCAGGGGCCGGGGTGGGTGACGGTCACCTCTTGCAGATCTCATCGGCAGCCTCCTGGCTAAAGAGCTGCTGCTGCAGAACGTTGTTGAGGGCGTGGACGGCACATAGCTCCAGGCGCTGCCGTTCGTGGTACACAGAGGGTGGGCTCGGCTGTGCTCCCGGGGCCTGGGACATGCCGTCCTCGGCTCCTGCTGGGGGTTGGGAGGGGAAGAAGGTCCTCAGGGGCCCGGGATCTAGAGGTCCAACCTCCCAGCAGGCCTTTGGGGCATCGCCATTGATTGAGCTGGGGCTCGGGGCAGCCCGGGAGGACACTGGGCCCCTGACCCCGCTCCCTGGGTCCCCTGACAGTACACGTCCCTCCATCCCCTCTTCCTATTCCTACGAAAAAGGCTGTCTCCTGTGCTCCCCTAGTAACAGAGAACCACCCCCACCAGGTCTCTAAGTAAAAGGGTGCCTATCATGGTCACCTAGCAACAGAGGAACCCGCCTCCCCTGTCCCTAGGTAACCGGGCGCTCTGTGGTTACCTAGCAACAGAGCCCCTTCCCCATGGCACTAGGTAACAAAGTCTGTCCTCCGAGCACCTAGCAATAGAGAGTCCTCCTCCCCTGTCTCTAGGTGATAGGGTCCCCTCCGGTCTCCTAGCAACAGAAGACTCCCCTTCCCCGGTCATGAAGCAGCGAGGCTCTCTGCTCTTGTCACCTGGCAACGGGGCCCCCTCCCCAGTCACTAAGCAACAGGAGTTCCTTTTCCTATACCCGGCAACCAGGCCCCTTCCCCGGACACCAAGGAATGGAGCCCTTCACCGACCCGCACCCCAACCACGGCGCTCGCCCTTTGCCTGGCAACGCCCCTCACCCCGCCTGCCTCTCCACTCCACCGAGCCAAGGGCTTCCGCATCCCCTTCCTGGGTTGCGGCTCTGTGCTCCGAGTGCGGGGCGGGCAGCACCGCGCTGACTGGGCAGGCGGGACGGACTACAGCTCCCGGTGATCCCTGCGCGCCGGACTACGACTCCCGTGGGGCTCCGCGGGACCCCTCCTCCCCACCAAACGTCCGGGCCGCGCGGCCTTGAAGTCCGCCGTCGGGCCTAGAAAATGCTGCACTACAACTTCCGTCGGGCCCCGCGGCAAGTCCCGGAAGTGCGCCTCAGAGGCCCGCCCTTCGCGTACGGCCGCGCCCACTACCGCTCAGAGCTTCTAGGAAATATAGTGCGTACGCTCTCGCGATAGCTTCCCGGCGCCGCGCTCTCGTGGGAGCGCGCCCCCTGCGATGGCGTCATGCGCGGTGCGCAGACGCAGCGTGACGTCACACAAGGGAAACAGGGACCAGGGACGCCAGGTGGTGCAGGGGGAGACAGCGGTGATCTTTACTGAGTCAGAAGGGAGATCCTGGGGAAGTGGGGCAAGGCAGGGGTGGGATAGTGGTAGTGAGAGGCCAGTAAGATGATCTCGTCTCGGGAGGGAGGAGGCTTCTCAGCAGAGATGGATCCCCGGCCTGGAGGGGAGCTGGCAGCAGGCTGCGGGGGGAGAGGGGAATGAGCTAGTGAGACAGAGGAGAGATGAGGAGACAGACACCTTGGGGAGGCAATGGTGGGAGGAGGGGACAGGCCTGGGGGGCGGTGGAGGAAGACCGGAGAGAGCGGGACAGAGCCCTGGGGGTGGACACAGACAGAGAGAGTCCTCATCAGAGGCGGGCACAGAGACTCAGAGAGGGGACACGGACAGAGATGGAGACATCTACGGTGCCAGGATTCAAAGTCGTGGACAGAGGTTAAGGAAATAAAGGTCAGAAATAAAGGTCAACAAATACAGAACCAGAGCTGCAGAACTAGCGAGAGCCCGGGATCCCCAAGCTCTGCAGAACACAGGAGCCCAGGCCGGGGGAGAGGGGCCTGGCCGCACCCAGGAGGCTCCGCCAGAAGGCCGTGACGGTGGCGGAGCCGGTTACCGCGCCTGGCTCGGCAGGGTTCTCTCTGTGGGTGTGCACAGCAAAGCTTCGGCCCGTGGGGCCCGGGTGTCCGGTCAGCTCTACATCCACCACGTGCATGTCCGTGAGGCTGGGACAAGTGGGGCGGTCAGTGTGGTTAGCCTGGACTCAGCCCAACACCCTGCTCACTCTGCTCACCTGAGATCAGCCACAAGCACACCAGTCACCCCATCGAAGCCCAGGCTGGGGGCAGCCAGGGCAGCCGCCGCCATGGTGTTGGAATTTCGGGGGGCGAAGGGGCAGAGCCCGCGGACGGGGCCTTCGTAGAGTACAGTGCGAGGCCCGGTGCTGTGGGCTGCAGCCAGGGGTCCCTCGAGCCGGAAGCCATCGGGGTGTGTGGCCATGGTGACACGAAGGCTCTGGAAGCAAGAGCCCGGGTTAGGGGGAGTGGGGTCTTTGCAGGCCTCCCCTGGTTCCTGGGGAGCCCAGCAGGCCCTCACCCGGAGGCCCCCAGCTGCATCCAATCTCGTGATGTCCTCGGTGCCCCACAGGGCCCCTCGGGCCACAAACACGGCATGGTTCCAGTGCTGTGAGGCCTCCAAGAGCTGCCGCTCTGTGGTCTGGTCACTTAGAGCTGAGGGGGACCCCACCTGGGGTGGAAGAAGGAGGAGAGGGTTGAGGTCAGGGAAGGATATCCACTTTAGGGTGGGGTGAGACCAAGACACAAGGGGTAGGGCTCTGTGTGAATGGTTGGGGTGGGGCTTACCAGGAGATTGGCATGGCGCAGGATTTGTGCCCCAGATTCATGGATTATTTTGGGATGGGCCACTTCCACAACCAGATCAGGGTGCCTGGGAGAGGGGAAAGAAGGCACAGGGTCTTGGAGAGGTATTAGGCCTCTTCTTCCCAAAGTTCCCTCTGAGTCTACTGAGGGCTGCCCCTCTTTTCCCTGGCCTGTGAGGAGAAATGAGATGAATGGGCTCGTCCCGTTTCACATTTGCTTGAACCAAGGCCCAGAGAGGGTCAGGGAATCCCTGAGATCACACAGTGGCTAAGAGGGCCAGGACAGGAGCTTCAGGGAGTTCCACTCACCCATGGCAAGGTCACTGACCTTTCCCCAAGGGCAGCAAGCTTCTGGAGCTGCAGGGAAGGGGGCACGCTCCCTGCCATTCGTCCTGGGTCACGATTCCAGACAAAAACAAGTTCTAGGCCAAGTTCTGGTCCCTGAGCCAACAGGCGGGAGACGAGGGACTGTCCTGAGGAGAGGGAAAGGAGAGGGCTAGAGATCCAGAGAGAGGGGACAGAGACCCAGAGAGAGAGGAGGGGGGTACAGAGGCCCAGAGAGAGGGGACAGAGACTCGAGGAGACAGAGATGGGGCCGGGGCAGAGATTCAGAGGGACAGGAGGACATAGGCCCAGAGAGAGAGGAGGTGGGGGGGAGGGTAGACAGAGATGGGGGCAGGGGCAGAGACCCAGTGTGGTGGACAGAGGCCCTGAGAGAAGGGAGACGGAGACGGAGAGGACAGAGACCCGGGGTGGGGTTGTGGTGGGCAGACCCAGAGACATAGCTAGGGGCAGATGGAGACAGAGAAAAGTGTCTGTGGAGGGCAGAGAGCCTTGGGGGCTTTAGGAAGGGGCTTGGGGAAGGAGGCCCAGGATGGTCAGGGACTCACCGAGGCGGCCGTAGCCCACCACGCCCACCCTCCATGGGCCCTTGTCGGCCATGGCCCTGAGTGTGGTGTCTGTGGCCCGGCTCCCTGGGCTGCTGGCTGCCCCCTGCACGAGGCCCGGGCAGCTGCTGCTCTTTGGACATCTGACCCTTGAGCCTCTGGCCTCACTGTTCCCCCTGCCCCGCAGACCCAGTGTGGGGGCGTGGGCCTGCTGGAGTGGAGGCGGGACAATCCTCCCTGTGCTCTATCCACTTTCCTGGGTCTGGCACAGTGATCACAGTGACCGGGGGTTCCGGGAGCCCTGTGTGCCCCCCTTTCCCCTATAGCACACCCTCCTTGCTCCCTGCTGATGTGGAAAATTTCCTCTGCAGTCCCCTGCCCCCTATCTGGCCGGCCAGGTTGTCATGGAAACTGCATCTTGCTTTGGGTGGGGAGAAGAGATGGTGACAGGGACTCTGGGCTCCGTCCCCTCGCGCTCACCTCTCCTCCTCGTCCTCAGGTGGCCAAGGTCTGAGGGAGGCTTCAAGCTGGCCGTGCCCCCAGCCCTCCCAGAGGCAGCAGGAGCCCTGGTTGCGGCTTCTCCTCGATGTGCCCTTGCCTCAGCGGGTCCAACCTCCCTAGCCCCGCAGCACGGTCCCCTTCCTGCAGCCTCCGCCCCCGTCCACAGCCTCCCTCTGCTCTGATCATCCTTCAGTTCACCTTGACTTGCCACCTTTCACTCTGTCCCCCATCGTGCCACCAGCTGCCTCCCATGTGACATTCTCACTCCCACGTCTGTCCCTCCTGTTCCCCAGCTTGCATCAGCCCAGGAGAAGCCTTCGAGGCCTGGAGAGGCCAAGCACCCCCAACATGAGCCCCAGCCACTGTGCCTCGAGGGTGCCTGGCATCGGAAATGGTGCAGGCTGCGGCAGCACGGGCTCCCTGCCCCCAGCCACCACCTGGTACCCGCTGCAGTGTTTCCATGGCAACCAGGATTGGCGCTGGAAAGAGGCTGGAGAGAAAGAGAGCGTGAACGGGAGCATGGGGTGGGGGGACGGGCACCGGGTGGCGAGAGCCCCAAGTTGACAGGAGGAGAGAGGAGACAGACGCAGACAGAGAGGGGCCAAAACCCTGACACGGCGCCCAGAGGCTGCTGCTGCTGATAAAGGAGGAACTGACTTCCAGAGCCAGGAGCCCCGGGTGTGGGGGAGATAAGATGCCTGGGTGTAGAGAGATCCAGGAAGGGGGCAGGGCCAGGCACCTCATGGAAGTGGGGGCCTCCCGCCATCCCCATCTTCTGACTCCTTCTGGGGCCTGAGTGTCCCCACAGTGCCCATAGCTGCCGTGTACGGAGCCCAGGCTGGGTCACTGCGAGGGGAGAAGGGGGCTGGGCACAGGCCTGTGTGTCCTCAGGGCTGTGTCCCTGAAGCCACCTCAGCATGGGAAGGCGCTAGAAGGCCCTGCATGGCTCTGCCACTCCCTGTGCCTCCCCCAGTGGCGTGAGATGGCAGCCCCGGCCAGCCCCAGCCCTCCAGGGGCTGCAACTCAGGCGCCTTGACCCCTCCAAGAGACATCACCCCCTCCCCCAGTCCCCTCAACAACTGCCCACTGTGCTGGCAACCCCCCCGGCCTGCTCGGGGCTTGCTCCCTGCCCTCTGAGGGCTCTGTTTCTGCCCTTCTGGGCCGCACTGTGGAGCCCCTGATGCCCCAGGCCCACCCGATCCGGCTCTCCAGCCTCCCACTGAACAGGCCAGAAATACAGCTCCTGTGCCCCAGAGGCCACAGCCCCAGCCTCCCACTTGGCCTGCCTCCCCTTCAGCGCCCATCCTCCGGAGCAGCCCTGAGGAGGTCTGCGGTGGAGACTCTCTGGATTGGGCCCTGTTGTGGGTTGCATTGTCGCCCAGAAAGGGAAGCACAGAAGTCTTGACCTCCAGGGCCTCAGAATGGGACCTTATTTGGGAATTGGGTTTTTGCCAAGGATGGAGCTGAGGTTATACTGGAGGTGGGGGCTCCTGGTCCAGTCTGCCCTCTGTCCTTGTAAGAGGGGAAGTTAGGCAGGCTGCAGTGGCTCACACCTATAATCCCAGCACTTTGGAAGGCTGAGGCAGGTGGATCACTTCAGGTCAGGAGTTCAGGTCACCTGGCCAACATGGTGAAACCCCTTCTGTACTAAAAGTACAAAAATTAGTTGGGTGTAATGGTAGGCGCATGTAATCCTAGCTACTCAGGGGACTGAGGGAGGAGATTCACTTGAGCCTGGGAGGCAGAGGCTTTGGTGCGCTGAAATTGTGCCACTGCACTCCAGCCTGGACAACAGAGCGAGACTCTGTCTCAAAAAAAGTCAGGCGCGGTGACTCATGCCTGTAATCGAGCACTTTGAGAGGCCGAGGCGAATGGATCACCTCAGGTTAGGAGTTTGAAAGCAGCCTGGTCAACGCGGTGAAACCCCATCTCCACTAAAAATACAAAATTTAGCCAGGCATGGTGGAGCATGCCTGTAATGCCAGCTACTTGGGAGGCTGAGGGAGGAGAATCGCTTGAAGCTGGGAAGCAGAGGTTGCAGTGAGCCAAGATTGTGCCACTGCACTCCAGCCTGGGCGACAAGAATGAAACTCCATCTCAAAAAAAAAAAAAAAAAAAAGCGGAGGAGTTGGACACAGATGCACACAGAGGGAAGAGATGAGAGGCTACAGGGGCAGGTGCTGGAAGACTGGGGTGATATAATACAGCCACCAGCCAGGATAGCCTGGGGCCACCAGAAGCTGGCGAGGCAGGAAGACCCCCGAGGTACCCCCAGGTTTCAGAGAGAGCCTGGTCCTCCTGGCACCTTGATCACATCCAGCCTCTGGGACTGTGGGACTATAGATTTCCTTTGTTCTAAGTTCCCACCCGGGTTTGGGTGTGGCGTGGCGGTGCTAGGGGAGGAGTTTAGGAGGAGAGGGAATCAGACCTTCTCTGGGGTCTCCAGCGTGAAGGCTGAGGGGCCTAAGACCACGCGGAGGTGCCCCGCGCCCACCCTCCCAACGGGGCTGCGAGGCTGGCTCTCCAGCCTCTCCTTCCGCCCCCACCCACATTCACTTTGTTTTCTCTCCTCCGTGCTTTCATGACCAAAAAAAATATTTTTTTACTTTTTCCATGTTTTTTTTTTTAAAGTAATTACAGAGCAGGTAGTCGTTGACGCAAACCTCCCTTCAGTATCAAAAGTGTCTGTGGGGCAGGTGGGGCTGGGGCGGGTGGAGGCTGCCACCCTCTGCCGACGACAGGGACCGCCGGCCGGGAGCTCTGGCGACGTGTCCATCTCTTCAGTTTTGAGGGCGGAGGAGTGGGAGGGAGGGACGGGCGTCAAACTGCAAAAACTGAACCGTAAAAGGAGGGTGTCTGGGGCCGAGGGGAAAGGACACCCCTGGAAAAAGCTCCTCTCTCCCCTGGAAGGCGGCGGGCCGGGAACGCTTGGTCGGGAGAGCGAGGAGGAAACGCGGAGCGCGAGGAGGAAACGCCACTTCTCCTGGGTCCCACGTCCCCTCCCGTCACCGGGGATTGGCGGGGGTGAGGCGAGGACCCCAGAGACTCCGTTCCTGGAGCCCCACCCTGTCCTCACTGGGGGTCCGAGCCCCAGATGGGGCTGGAAGCCACCTCTCCCCAATTCCCTGCGTGGTCCCAGAAGGTGGGCTGGGCTGTGGGAGGGAGGGGTCCCGGTCAGGCTGCGCCCGGGCTGGGACCAGGGTGGGGGGCTCCACGCCCCTCGCCCGCCAGGCCCCACTGCCTCAGATCTGCGTCTCTTGCACGTTCTCCTTGGAGCCGCTCTTGAAGAGCAGAGGTTCGTGGATGGAGTTGAGGCCGGGCGGGCCTTTGCCCCCACAGCCCCCGCCGCTGGGGTTGCTGCTGTAGTGCGCCTTGAAGGCAGCAGCCACGTAGTGGTGGTGGTTGAGGTGGTCTCGCTCCAGAGCGGGCAGGGCCAGGTGGCTGTCCCCGCCCACGCCACCCCCACCGGCCACGGCGGCCGCGGCGGCCACGGACACGGCCGAGGCGGCGGGCAGCTCGTCCTCCACGTTGATGATCTCCACGGTGCGCGTGGGCCCGTGGTGCTTGTGGAGCTGGTGCTGCTTGCGCAGCTTGTAGAAGGCCACGAGCATCACCGCGGCCATGAACGTGATGGCCACGAAGCAGCCAATGATGATCTTGGTGGTCTTCATGACGTCGTCCAGGTCCTTGAGGGCGTTCTCCGTCACATCCGTGATGGGCACCGTGAACGCCTTCTCCGTGGGCCGCGAGGAGCGCGGGGCGGGTGCCGTGGTAGACGACGAGGCAGGACCGGCCGCGTCCCCGGGCCGGCCCCCGCCCCAGACACCGTCCGTCGTGGGCCCCGGCGGTTCCTTCTCCGTCCCCCGCGGCTGCAGGGCCTCCTCTCCGGGCTGCGTCTCCAGGGTCTCCACGGTCACCGTGGTGAAGTAGGTGTAACCGCCACTGCCCCCTCCAACACCACCACCGCCCCCAGGGCCGCCCCCGCCGCCGCCGGTGCCCCCGGCTGCCACGGGGTCCACGGCCGAGACGTTGAGCGTGGCCGAGGCGGTGGTGTTGCCGGCCGAGTTCGTCACCATGCACGTGTACTGGCCCGTGTCCTGCACGGTGACGTTGGTGAAGTTGAGCGTGCCGTCATGCAGGACGGAGATGCGCACGCGGTAGGAGCCGTGGGTCATGAGGGTGCCGTTGGGCGTCAGCCAGTTGACGGAGGTCATGGAGGTGCCCGTGCGGCATTTGAGCTCGGCAGCCATGCCCTCGGTGACGTTGAGGTCAGTGGGCGGCTCCACGATGACGGGCGCATAGCAGGTGAAATGCGACTGGTCCAGCTCCCCAATGTAGCGCCCCTTGAGGCCGGCGGGCGCATGACAGCGGGCGCAGCACGTCGTGTTGCTGGGCACCGTCTCTTTGAGCCACCAGCTCAGCCAGAGCACGTCGCAGTTGCAATGCCAGGGGTTGTGGTTGAGGTGCACGCGCTCAAGGCGGTGCAGGGGCGTGAAGAGGTCGTGGGGCAGCGACATCAGGTTGTTGTGGGACAGGTTGAGCTCCTCCAGCGACTTGAGGTCGTCGAAGGCGTTGCGCTCGATGGTGGCTACCTGGGCGTGCATGAGCCACAGCTTGCGCAGACTGGTGAGACCCTGGAAGGAGCCCGGGCGGATCAGGTCCAGCCGGTTGCCCGACAGCTCCAGCTCCTCCAGGCGCACCAGGGCCGTCAGGTTGGGGATGTCCTTGAGGTTGCACATGCCCAGGTTGAGGTAGCGCAGGTTGACCAGCCCCTCGAAGGCCGCCTCCGAGATGTACTCCAGCCGCTTGAGCTCGCCCAGGTCCAGGCGCCGCAGCGAGGGCACGCGGTTGAAGGCGTACGAGGGGATGCTCTCGATGGGGTTGTTGCGCAGCCAGAGCTCCCGCAGCTTGGACAGGTACTCGAAGGCCTGCGTGGGCACCGTGGTCAGCCGGTTGTCAAAAAGCTCCAGCGTGTTGAGGCTGGGCAGCCCGTTGAAGGCACCCACCTCGATCTTGCGCACCAGGTTCTTGCTCAGCTGCAGAATCTCCAGGTGCCGCAAGTGCTTGAACGTGTCCGTCCGGATCACCTGGGGAGAGGGAGACACGGATCAGTCACGGAGATACTGACAAGGGCCGTGGGGGGATCACCAAGGTCCCGGGAGCAGGCGGGGTCGGGTGGCTGGATCTCCTGTGCTGTGCTGTGACGGTACGACCACATTGCAACATGGTTTGATGAGTTTCTTATGAAGTTAAAACTGGAGTCAAGGCTGGATGCCGTGGCTCACGCCTGTAATCGCAGCACTTTGGGAGGCCGAGGCAGGTGGATCACTTGAGGTCAGGAGTTCGAGACCAGCCTGGCCAACATGGTGAAACCCTGCCTCTACTAAAAATACAAAAATTGGCTGGGCGCGGTGGCTCAAGCCTGTAATCCCAGCACTTTGGGAGGCTGAGATGGACGGATCACGAGGTCAGGAGATCGAGACCATCCTGGCTAACACAGTGAAACTCCGTCTCTACTAAAAAATACAAAAAACTAGCTGGGAGAGGTGGCGGGCACCTGTAATCCCAGCTACTCGGGAGGCTGAGGCAGGAGAATGGCGTAAACCCGGGAGGCGGAGCTTGCAGTGAGGTGAGATCTGGCCACTGCACTCCAGCCTGGGCGACAGAGCGTGACTCTGTCTCAAAAAAATAAATAAATAAATAAATAAAAATAAAAAAATTAGCCAAGTGTGGTGGCCTGTGCCTGTAATCCCAGCTACTTGGGAGACTGAGGCACGAGAATCACTTGAACCCAGGAGGCGAAGTTTGCAGTGATTCGACATAGTGCCACTGCACTCCTGCCTGGGCAACAGAGCAAGACTCCGTGTAGAAATAAACAAAAAAACTGGATTCAAGAATTTTGGGGGACTAGGCACGGGGTGGCTCATGCCTGTAATCCCAGCACTTTGGGAGGCTGAGGTGGACAGATCACTTGAGCCCAGGAGATCAAGATCAGACTGAGCAACAGCACATAAACCCCATCTCTACAAAAATTAAAATAAAATAAAATAAACAAATTAGCCAGGCGTGGTGGCATGTGCCTGTTGTCCTTGCTACTAGGGAGGCTGAGGTGGGAGGATTGCGTGAGTCTGGAAAGGGAAGTCTGCAGTAAGCCCTGATCACACTACTGCACTCTAGCCTGGGCAATGAAGTAAAACCCTGTCTCAAAAAAAAAAAATATGAACGCACATAGAAAGAAAGAAAGAAAGAATGAATGAAAAACGTACAAACAAACAAGAAAACGAAAAAAAGATAGTTACTTTCAAAGTTAAAACTGGATTCAAGAATTTTGGGGATGACCAGGCGTGGTGGCTCACACCTGTATGCCAGCACTTTGGGAGGCTGCAGTGGGTAGATCACCTGAGGTCAGGAGTTCAAGACCAGCCTGGCCAACATGGTGAAACCCCATCTCTACTAAAAATACAAAAATTAGCTGGGCGTGGTGGCGCGTGCCTGTAATCCCAGCTACTTGGGAGGCTGAGGCAGGAGACTTGTTTGAACCTGGGAGGCAGAGGTTGCTGTGAGCTGAGATCGTGCCACTGCACTCCAGTCTGGGTGACAGAGTAAGACTCCATCTCAAAAAAAAAAAAAAAAAAAAAAAAAAAAATTAGGGGGCCAGGCACAGTGGCTCATGTGTCTATAATCCCAGCACTTTGGGAGGCCAAGGTGAGAGAGGATCACCTGATGAGCAAAAAAAAAAAAAAAAATTTGGGGGGCCAGGCACAGTGGCTCATGTCTATAATCCCAGCACTTTGGGAGGCCAAGGTGAGAGGATCACCTGAGCCCAGAAGCTTGAGGCCAGTCTGGGCAACATTGGGAGACCTTGTCTCTACAAAAAAGAATTTAAAAAGAAATGTAAAAACAAGAATTTTGGGATTGAGGAAAAAACTTCTGAAAAAAAAGTTAAAACTGGAGTGGCCATCCAACCTGGCTGTTCCATTCCTGGGTATTTCCTCAAGAGAAATGAAGGCAGATGTCCACGCAACGGCTTCTACGTGGGTGTTCACAGCATTTTTTTTCTCTGGACTGCCTAAGCTGGAGGCGGCCCAAATGATAATCAGCAGGTGAGTGGACAAACACTGCGAGGTGTGGCCGTGTGGAGGATGCTGCGGCTCAGCCACAAAAGGGACCTGGCTACTGTGAACCCCTGGAAGAATCTCTCCGGGGTGAGGCTGAGCAAAAGAAGCCGAACCCAAAGGAGCTGGCACGGTGGATCCGTCCACACTGTGCGCTGGGTGTTCTAAGTGGGTGTCTCTGCGTGTGTGGGCGGGTGAGGTGTCTGGGGCAGACAGGGAAGGGTGTGAGAGAGCTTTCTAGGGTGACTGACACGTGCTACATTGGCATGGTGGTTACATGACGGAAGGCGACTGTTAGGACTCCCCAAACTACACTTAAAATGAGGGTATTTTATTCCATGCCAGTGATACATTATTTTATTTTATTTTTGAGACAGAGTCTTGCTCTGTCACCCAGGCTGGAGTGCAGTCGCACAATCTCGGCTCACTGCCATCTCCGCCTGCCGGGTTCTAGCGATTATCCTGCCTCAGTCTCCCGAGTAGCTGGGATTACAGGCGTGTGCCACCAAGCCTGGCTAATTTTTGTATTTTTAGTAGAGACGGGGTTTCACCATGTTGGCCAGGCTGGTCTCGATCTCCTGACCTCGTGATCCACCCGCCTCGGCCTCCCAAAGTGCTGGGATTACAAGCGTGAGCCACCGTGCCCGGCCAATTTTATATTTTTAGTAGAGATGGGGTTTTACCATGTTGGCCAGGCTGGTCTTGAACTCCCGATCTCAAGTGATCTGCCTGCCTTGGCCTCCCAAAGTGCTGTGATATTACAGGCATGAACCACCTTGCTCGGCCACTACGCATTAGTTTTAAAAATGAAAAAAATAAGACTGGGCATGGTGGTTCACACCAGTAATCCCAGTACTTTGGGAGGCTGAGGTGGGAGGATCACTTGAGCCCAGGAGTTGAAGACAATCCTGGTCAACAAAGCAAGGCCCCGGTCTCTAAAAATAAATACAAAAATTAGCCCTGTGTGGTGGTGTGCACTTGTGGTCCCAGCTACTCAGAAGGCTAAGATGGGAGGATCGCTTGAGCCCAGGAGGTCAAGGCTGCAGCGAACTGTGATCATGCCACTGCACTCCAGCCTGCGTTTCAGAGGGAGCCGCCGTCCCAAAAATAAGTAAATAAATAAATAAATAAATAATAAAAAATAAAAATACTAATACCAGCAACTAAGACACATTGAACAAGTCTTTGATGCCAGACACTGCTCTAAATGCTTTGTGGGTAGTAACTCTTTTTTTTTTTTTTTTTGAGATGGAGTCTGGCTCTGTTGCCCAGGCTGGAGTGCAGTGGCACAATCTCGGCTCACTGCAAGCTGCGTCTCCCGGGTTCACGCCATTCTCCTGCCTCAGCCTCCCGAGTAGCTGGGACTACAGGTGCCCGCCACCACACCCGGCTAATTTTTTTGTATTTTTAGTAAAGACGGGGTTTTGCCATGTTGGCCAGGCTGGTCTCGAACTCCTGGCCTCAGATGATCCACCCAGCTTGGCCTTCCAAAGTGCTGGGATTACCGGTGTGAGCCACCGCGCACGGTCACATGAAACCAAAGCTTTTATTGATCCCACTCGTGACTATCCAAACATTTCATTCTAGAAATTCCCATGTTTCAAGATCACTAAGATGTTATAAAACCTATGGTAACTATTATTATGTTTCTAATATCAGAATGCCAAAACGCATCAGACCTCAAGGGTTTCACACGAAGGATGATGAATTAGGCCCAGGGAGGTGCAGTGACTTGCCCAGGGTCACACAGAAGTTGACAGCAGAGTTGGAATTGGATCCAGGCCCTCTGGTTCCAGAGTCCTGGCTCTTGACCTCTGACCCTGGCTGCCGCCTTTCAGGGCTGGGACTGGGGTCCACAGGAGAGGCAGTGCTGGGTCAGAGCACGGGAGGCAGGGTCTCACAGGGTCCTCACTACTGATCACCACGCCAGGTGCACTGAGGCCCAGAAGGCCACACAGCCATCAGATCATATTTGCAAAGCCCAGATAGTGATGTGTACAAGGGAGGAGGGGACAGGCACTGGGGGAATATCAACAGAGGAAACTGAGAACCTCAGATGCATCCTGTGTCATCACAAAGAAGCTGAAGAATTAGGTATCAGAGTATATGCACCAAAAGAAAAAGGAGAAAAAGAAGCCGGGCGTGGTGGCTCACACCTGTAATCCCAGCACTTTGGGAGGCCTAGGCGGGCAGAGCAGTTGAGGTTGGGAGTTCGAGACCAGCCTGGCCAACATGATAAAACTCCATCTCTACTAAAAATACAAAAATTAGCCGGGGGTAGTGGTGGGCGCCTGTAATCCCAGTTACTCGGGAGACTGAGGCAAGAGGAAGGTGGAGGTTGCAATGAGCTGAGATGGCACCATTGTACTCTGGCCTGGGTGACAGAGCAAGACTCCATCTTAAAAAGAAAAAAGAGGCTGGGCATGGTGGCTCACGCCTGTAATCCAAGCTACTTGGGAGGCTGAGGCAGGAGAATTGCTTGAACCCAGGAGGCGGAGGCTGCAGTGAGCCAAGATCCCCCAATTGCATTCCAGCCTGGGTGACAGAGTAAGACTCTGTCTTAAAAAAAAAAAAAAAAAAAAAAAAAAAAACTGGAAGGACATAGGACATACTCCAAGTTTTCTTAGCAGTGAACTCTATCTGTTGGGAATTATGGACAATTTTTATTCTTTTGTGATTTTTTTTCTTCAATGAACAAAAATTACTTTTATAGTAAGCAGGGATAAAAACAAAACCAAACCCAGATATACCTGAGAGGCAGAAAAAATGGTAATATTGGTAGCATAGGCACAGTCATAAAATAATAATAATTTATGTCGGTGCTGTCCAATAGAAACAGAATGTGAGGCCAGGTGCGATGGCTCAAGCCTGTAACAATCCCAGCACTTTGGGAGGCCGAGACGGGCAGATCACGAGGTCAGGAAATCGAGACCATCCTGGTTAACACAGTGAAACCCCGTCTCTACTAAAAA